CTTCATCCAGAAGAAAAAAAAAAAAATTGCATATGACAGGAAATGTTTTCAGAAAACACAACCAAGATGACTATGACCGTTTCCACGAATTCTGAAATGGTGATGTTGTGGCAAGGAGCTGCTTCAGAGGTTTCTCAGAAGCGGACGGTCCCACAGTTCAAAGTGCAACACACCAGCCAGAGATGAGAAATAATGCTCTCTCCTGAAACTCAGTCCGGCAAACAACAGGGGAAGAAACTGTCGGCCAGAAAAGGCAGGGGTCAGGGTTGCTGGCAATTCGCCTGATACCGTGACTAAAGCAAAGAGTTTTTAGCGTAGGCTCTTCTCATTAATAGCACTGATTCAATTAACGACATGCACACGTTTAAAACTTAAAACTGCCGATCGCCGATCATTTAGATGAACCTGGGAACTAAAGAACCAGCCACCCGCACCACGTGCTTCCATGCTGCCGGTCTACACTGCTCCTCACGGTGGCAAGCTTCACGTACCACAACCTAAAAGAGTCATCTCGACCTGCTGTACTTCACCACAATGTTCAACAATTTTAAACGCAGGAATATTCAATCTCAAAAAAGCAGAAGAGATTAATAGAACTGAGTTAAGTCCCGTCAGGCTGAATTTATGGAGTTCCAAGAGCTAGTTCATCTCCCAAAGTCATTCTGTGAGGCTTGACCCTCTCTCCCATATTACCCCAATATTCATGACATGGGAAAGATCTGCTAGAAACTCTCCTCCACATCTTCATGGTAACTTCGCAGCTCTACTGTTTGAGCTGCTCCCATCCTAATTGTAACAGTTTATATTCACGTGACAACTGGAAAAAAATAGCAGATTTTTCACGGTCTAGTGTCAAGTCAGTAACAGGTTTCTTTACCAGGTTTCTTTTCTAGATAAATTTTAATCAGGAGAAATTGCAGAGGGAAATCAAATGCTTCCCCCCTCCCTTTCTCATTCCTGCACGTTTAAAAATATAATAACTTTAAACAGCCAATATGTTAACTCAGCATACCTACACATCTATAATAATCACCAGGGAACAGAGTGGGAACAAGCAGAAAGCAGCCGATGAAAACCCTCCTTGTTTATGTCTACATAGCCATTCCTTCAGTATTTCTGAGTTAACAAAAACATATTTAAAAAAAAAAAAACTCAAACTGTGTAGTTTAAACATTATAAAACTATGTTTACATTTTATCTATACTGCATATATTAAAAGCAGAAGGTTGGGATGCTTCCGTTAAGAAATGATGGAAAGTCATAAATTAGTACAGAAAACATGCATTATATCAAGAGATCCAAAGCACTGGTTATTTGTGCATTATCTTAACATCATCCATAAAGTTATCAATTTATGTAGTTTGGCACTAGTATAAATAATAAAAGGCTTTTTATATTTATCACCATTTTAAGATGATAAAGACTGAAAAACTTCATGGAACTGTTTGGATATGGGAATGCCACTTGAGAGTTGGTACATGACATGTATTCTATAGAAAGGAATTCACTGTACATTCATTTACAACCTCTTATCAATTGAGCTGAAGGTATACATCCACTGAGTAACAACAACAAGAAAAAAGTATGTTACAAACTGCATTAAGGTAATGTAGAAAGTTGATCTTTTAACCACCGAATGGAGTACTCATTCCTATGGAAGTTGAGATCAGCTAGTGAAATGCATTCTTTTGCAATTTTTTAAAGCAGCATAAGTCATTTATTTTCATACTTCCAGCACTACAGGCAATACATCTTTTGTATCATTTTAGTCCATGATCACTTGGGTCTGCAACATAAAATGTGTAATACACTCTCTCAGGGAATAACACTATCACCAAAACAGGTAAAAGAAAACCCTCTCCCACAACTGTTTTGTTCTGTAGAGTTAACACAGATGCATTAACAAGTTGAAGACTTTTTTTTTTTCTCTGTTAATTACTATTAAAGACCACAGGCATTCATCACATTCCTCCAATTCTCCACCTCAAAAAGCCTCCTAGGCTTCACAAGAGTCCTGAACACATTATTTAGAAAAATTTATGAGAAACGTATTTTGTTCCACTGCTTCACTTCTATCTGGAATTTTATTTGCATAAAAGACCAACAGTAGTTTTAAGTCACCTTTTTTTTTTTGTTACAGTAACACATATTCAGACTTGCTTGATTCCAGCTTATTCCTCCTTCTCGAGCAGTTGAGACTAGCCACACCAGGGGCAATCTGGATCAGTTTTCAAAGACTAGAGATCAGAATAAAAACAGGCAGCAGTCAGGCATCTTGCCTCTGTCATAGGATTACCAGGTGGCCTGCGAAATGAGCCTTCCGCATCAGATGATAGTGGAAAATAATTCTAATAAATATTTATAGGCCCTGAATTATTGTCTTGAAAGCTTCTAAATAGGAAATGCATTTCTACTAACTCACCATACAAGCAATCACATAAAACACAAACACATGTCTAAATTACAGTTTATTATTATAGTTGATCAACTAGGATGCACTAAAATTTTCCTTTAGGTATCCCCTATACAACAACAAACATTTAGGAGGACTGCACATTATGCATTTATTTCATAATAGTCGAGGGATTCATTCCTGACTCCATCCTGCTGGGTGTCAAGTATTATCAATTTGCTTTCAGGAAGATGAGCACAACCAAGGCAGCTGGTAGGTGCACACCTTGCAACATCTTATGTACTTTATTTAATCAATGAGTAAGGCACATTATTTCTAACATGGATATTTCCATAGGCTTGCTCATCCTATCTTAAGGTTTACGAAGCACAAATCATACCATCTTTGGTTTTTTTATTTGGTTCATAGTAAACTTATCCCTCCCTTGAACAACAAAAACACTTTTTGTCAATGCTTTAGAGCACAAAGCTAGTTTAAGTCCCAATTGACCATCAACACGATATGAATTTTCAAATGCAATCTGAAAAAAAACATTTAGAACTTTCGCACTTTGCCCTTCAGACAACTGGTTTAAAATTGTGCTCTAATTTGCAAGATGTACAAATACAGTTTTGAGAAGAAAAAAAATGTGCATTTGCTAACAATAGCAAAATTAAATATAACACAAATTAAATACTTGTAAGAGGAAAAATAAAGTTCTAGCGTATAAGTAAATTACCTAAAAGAAACCACAAGAACACGAGAGAACAATTACTAAGGAAACACTGATCAGACATGGATACCTGTGAAACAACGGAACCTTTCTGGAGGAGAGTAAGCAGCAGTGCTTCAAAATCTTCTTCAGGTAATGAAAGAGTTTCAAGGAGGCTCTCAACTTCATGCAGTAGTCAAAGACATTTTAAAATCTCTTAATTACATACAGATTTGTTCCAGTGCAAGCAAAATGGAAAACAAACACACTTAAAATCACCGCAGGGATATTTTTACAGTCATCCTTTATGTTACATACCCTGGTGTCAGAGCTCAGGTCAACTCTCTCCACCACTTTTATTTTCTTCTGCAAAATGTTTCTGCTTACAGCTGGATATGCAGATTTTCACAGATAGAAATGGTTAGAGTATAGACAAGGAGGAATAACTGTTACGGGATCAACTTGCACCACATACGACTAAGCAACCAACCAGTCCTTTTTCATGCTCGGTGAGTAAGTCAGTCTCTTAAATCATGTCACCAACCAAATAATAGTCTATGAGTATTTCTCATTCTCTCAGTAGTCTATGCTGAAATCTTCCAAAAAAATTCACATCTCAGAACTGTACAGTTCCATTACTTTAATTGATTAAATATAGATTAGCAGTGTTAGTGTAAGAAAAGATTTAATGGCATCAAAATCATTCAAATTAAATCAAGTAAGAAAATGTTGCAATGCACTTCAGCCAAACCATCACAAATGATATGTTATATAAATACAGACACGAGGTAGCTGGCAGCTACAAATCCACCAATTCTGGAAATGTCCAATTTGTCTAAAGAGCATAAACTGACAAATACTAATTAAACCTTTCCATTAAAAAAAAAAAAAAGAACACCTAGTTTATTGCTTTAAGAAGTTCATTCTTTACATCAGAAAGAGGCAAAGGCATATTAAAGAAAGTTACCTGGCTGTTGATGGCTTTTGATTGTATTCATTTTTTCAAAATAACTACTAAATAAAATTCTGAATGCAAATAGCTGACTCGCTTCCAATGTTACATGTTCTCACCCAAATGAACAAAAGCTTGCATTTTCCAAGAGAGGGGGCAGGGAAAGAAGGTATAACTTCCGAAAGGATAGCATTAACTACTTTCTTATGAGAAACCAGTAACAGGACTAAACCCAGTGTTCCCACCAGACAGAAGACATTGAAAAAACAGACCAACAATTGCAGGAGAGGCAGAAAGCATTATAGCCAACGAAGACAGCAGTGGCACAGCATACAATACATGGAATGCAGATGGAAATATGATGATCTGTATCACAGATGTAATTTTTATTAAAGCTTCCTGAAGTTTCTTTTGTGTGTTTCAGAAAAGGCAAAAGTGGAACAGACAAAAAAAATGGCAAGAAACACAAAAAAGGAAAAGATACAAGAAATCAAGCATCAAGTCAGTAACTACAAAAGCACGACAAAGGACAGAAGTAGGACAGACTTCAGCAATGTGGTCTGAAAACTGCTCAGAGGTCAAGTAAGCAAAGGGAAAGTTATGCTCATTTCTCAAAAGAATCTGGAGGGGAGGTGAAGGAGAGGTGGGGAGGCAATTTTGAGACAGGGGTGAGGGGTTGGTTTTTTTTTTAAATATATACACACACACACACACGCACACACACGGAGTGCAAGCTTGTCTAAAGAAGTGGTACTACAGATGACAGAATTTACTCCCCTGCAACAAACGGAATACCTCGACCTCTCAAGTAAACTAAGCATACAAAAGTGTTAAGAATAAAAGGTGCATGTCAAACCAGCAGCAATATTATGTTTGGCTTTCCACTACTTCTGCAAGTTACTGTACATACATTACATCACTATTATAGAAATGGCACAGCCTCAGACACTTTCCACATTTTATTTACATTTTAAGACTAACTTTAATCTCAATCACATATCCATACATTTCCTTTGTTTCACTAAAACTTAAATGCATGGTTTATTAGAACAAAGACTGTAAACAAATATTTGCCATGTCCGATACATGTAACACACAGGAGCTGCTTAACAGAAATTAATCCCCCCATTTTATAAATACAGGTATCAAAACAATCCTGAACATACTTTGTGACACTACTAGTAGTCGGCACCCACACCCTTGCAAAATTAAACAAGATGAGCAACAGTATTCACTGTACCTGCTACTTCAAAACAAATTTAACTGCAGCTCTTTTACTAAGCAAGATGGATAAAGCATGCCATTTATATTTTGCCTTCTCAAGAGATTATTTTCAGAAACATATATTATTCCACAGCAATCTGACACTTTCTGTCATGCTTTCATCTTGTAAAACCTGAATTCCAATTTTAGGCTATTTCAGGCTTATGCTTAAATGACAGTGCCTCAATAAGAGAAAAAAAAAAATTGTGCTGCCTTTTTCTCCCATAGTGCCTGAAAACATATTGGGCATACATATATTATATATATTCTTACAAATGTCCAGGTCATGTATACCAGCTGAAATTCTTTTAATGTGTGGGTGTTTGCATTGTGAGATTTAATCAAGACATTAACATGAGTAGAAGGTTGTTGTTTTAAGACAGAAGTTTGAGAATCAGCTAAAATTAATTGTTGTAAGTTTGTCCCTCTGGAGGTTGTGGAAGCTTCATATTTTCTTTGGACATCATTAGACGTCTTAGCTCTTGAAGTACAACTTTAATGCTATAAGAATTTTGCCATTTTGCTAACACTGGTATGCTCCGTGTATCCACCTGGAAAAAGAAGAGAGAGTTGTAAGTTCTGATGAAATACAAAATCTCTACATAAATATCTGCTATTGACTTAACTGTTCTAAGAACGGGTCTAACCATTCCCTGATACTTTCTCTGTGACATAAAATCCCTGCGTTCATAAAATATCTTAAGGAAAACAATCATATACTTACACATAGATACAGATTCTGCAATAAGATCCATGCAGGTGGACCCTTCCATCTGTGCTGATACTAGTATCAGTGAGAAGGAAAGGGGTGGGGGGGAGGAGGAGATCAGCAAACCGTTCACTGCAAAATCGGAGCTCTATCTTGTAAAATTAATTATTTTGTTTCAAATTACCCCCCAAAAAAGGAAAAAAAAAAAGTGATCATCTTCATTATGCCAATATATACACTTGGGTTTTCCTCAGTTCTTTAAAAGAACCTGACACACAAAAGTCCACAGAACACTCTTCTACAGGAAAAATTCCCTTGGTTTTCCTTTGCTACAACCATTGTTAGAATTTATTTCATATCGATACTACATGATGCTTTTGACACATCAAGAGTCACTATATATACAAATGGCTTGAAATATTGAAATAACTGATTCATACTCTTTGGACATTTCTTAGTTCTTTGCATCCTTCTTACAGTAAGTCATCTTACGGAGCTGTGAAGATTACTGTACATCACTTACCAATTTGAATATGAACTGAAAGGAAAGGACATGGGACTTCTCCTATGCGTTTATAAAACCTGTGGGACAATTTACACAATTATATTATAACAGGGAGGTTTCCATAGGAAAGTCAGCAACTGAAAGTCAGCTTGGGAATTGTTTTGGCAGCAGGTAAGTCCTGGCCACCCAGCCCCTGTAAGGAGGAACTTAAGAAGACAGAGGGGCCTACAGCAGCGCAACTGCAGAGGGCTATTGCACGCTACTGAACCCCACGGGCAGAGTAGCACAGGCAGCCCACATGGCTATAAAGTGCTGGAAACCACTGCTTTATCATTTAGGCAGCATAAAACATCGAGAAGTTTCTTATCCCATCTTAATTAGGGCAAACTGAAAGAAAAAACAACACTGGAATCAGAAATAAGAACGTTAACACACACATTTTATTTCTCGATTGTTCAAAGTGAGGCTGTCTATTTTCAAAACACCAGATGAGACTAAACCTTTTTGAAGGAGGAAACTGAGGCCAAGGTTTAACAACATGCTGGTTTGGGCAGAAATACTAACCCCAAAAACTTCTGCTTCCTCTCACTAGAAACTTGTTCCTTTAACAGTGCTACTGCCCGTCAGCTCAGGTGAACCATGAAATGCATCCATAGAGCTACTTTCTGACCTGAACTGAGAGAACCCATCCAGGTTAAAAAAAAAAAAAAACAACAAAAAACACCTTGGGAAGAAGTCCCCAGGAAGGATCCTTGATCCAATTCACATTCACAGCTCAGCACTAGAAGCATTTCTCTTCACACAAATAATGTTCTGTTCAGAGTCGGGAAGCCCTTAAAATCAGCAGAGCTGTCAAAGACAGCGTATCATCAAACCACAGTATAAAAGCCAGTCAGATTACTTAATAATTACTGCAAACATTAATAAATGAGGAAGAAACAAACCACCAAAAGGAAAGCTCCATTACATAGGAAGATCATGACAACTTAAAATACATATGACTGTATGAGCTAATACAGAAAGGTTTTCAAAGTAACGCTGGTCAGATCATCACTGTAATTTCTGGACTACTACTGCTACTTTATTAAAGGGGTATTTTGTTTCATGTGGTAGACAAGAGGCAATATCAGAACAGAATAATCTTTGCAACTGGAAAACTGGTTCTCTTTTCTTATAAAGCAGCCTATTAGATAAAGCCACCAATGAGTAAAGGGGAAATCCAAGTAGCAGCTTAGGTAAGGCATCATTTAGCCTGAATCTTTGTTCTGAGGTACCAAGCTCTTACAGATCTCTTCCTCTCCAATCCTTTTAGATAAGAATAGAGAAGGACGCTCCAGAGTTTCTGTCCAACAAGCTGGACCCAGCAAACTAGGAACAACATGAATTCATTTCAAAAGTTAGAATAGTAAATATCACACCACTCAAATTTGTTCTCCATATAGAAAATGGCATGAGAAATGCATGAGACCACCATTTTTTCCTCATGGAAAACAGAAAATAAACAGAAAAGAGAAACAAGAAAAACTTCATGGTGGTTAAGAATCATGGTAACTGAAAAAACAAGGGCTCAGATCTTATGTTCACTTAGCATACACCTGCAGATGTTTAAGATCTTATATCCTCCCCTCTCACACAGACACACTTATTAACATTTGTTATTACTTCTCTGCAGCTAACCTGACATCTTCAATTTAGCAACATGGAACAAAATGTGAGAGTACTCCCTAACTGCTTTGGTATAATTCCTTTGGCAGACCAGTAGTTTAAAAAACTGGCGTGTTAGTCTGAATCACAATACTTTCTACCAAAGTAACTGGGGAGAGATTACATTACGTGTCACAGACCTGTCAAAATAAAATAAAAATAAAAATAAAAATAAAAATAAAAATAAAAATAAAATAAAAATAAAATAAAATAAAAAATAAAAATAAAATAAAAATAAAATAAAAATAAAATAAAAATAAAATAAAAATAAAATAAAAATAAAATAAAAATAAAAATAAAATCAACAGTCTCCCTGAGAAATATAGTGGGGAAAGAAGCCAGAGTAACCTACTATCAAGGACCAGGTAATGGCTGCAACAGAAGATTTCCAACCAGGGAAGACGTGCACTTGGGGGTGGAAGCCCATATGACAATAAACTGTTTTAGAAGACCACTGGTAAATCAACATGGATAAGAAAAAGGTAGGTTTAGTTTTATTTCTCAAATCTACCGAAATCTACTATAATTATCTCTTCCAATAAAGATTGGGTTAGCAAAAAATGGCTGGAAGGGCAGTTGCTCTGGGACTCCCCAAATCAATGTCTATCCTCAGCCCAGCAATTCTGCTTTCACACCGCCTTCCTTCTCGGTGCTTCTTCTCAACTTTGCCTTTGTAGGTTCTCTCAAGTCTGGAGATCTGCCTCGTTACAGCACACAGCAGTCAGGCCCCAGTGCTGTTCAAACAATGCAATTCTACATACACTGGCTGTACTGGAATATGAGACCTGATCACTTAAAAGTAAGCTCCTCCAGCTCTTCTTTCTTGGCTGGGGATTTGTAACAACGAATTCACAGACTGTAAACTCTGCTTTAACGCTGTTATGAATGTTTTGAGTAAAGACTGCTGCAGCATGACATTTTTGTTGCTGTTTATCTCAAGTCTTCTTTCTCCAAGTCATCAACTTTTTTGATGACATCTTGCCGCAGTAAAGATTTGGGCTCACGTTCTGTGTTGCAGAGTTTATTTCCAAGTTAACGCACAATAAATTCACTTTATGAAAAACAGTAAGATATTTAGAAGAACGACACAAACTATGTTCAAATCACACAAAAGCATTAGGTAATATTCGAGTACACATCCTGGGACGCAGAGGGAGAAATTTCAAGGTCACATAAAAGCTACCTGAAAACTGCAACCTGAAGACTATTTTATTCTGGGTGTGCACTGCTGTAAATCCTTAAACAATAGCAAGAGAAGCAATGTGTATAATGCATAATTTTTTCTAAACAACTGAAATTAAACCAAATAATTATACACAATGTTGCAAAGTTTATAATGTTCCAAATAACTTCAAGAAGTAGCAAACTGCTTAGTCTACAATAAACATAGTCAAAGCAATAACTAGACAACAGTTTACAGGTTACAGCTGACAGAGTCCCAAGTGAGTTTAAAGGAAACAATTATGTCCAGCTGTAAATGGTATATAAATGAACAGAAGTGATTGCAAATCCTGCAGTGTAGACTGCTGAAGAGCACTCTCACAGATGCAAAAATCAGACATGCTCAAAAGACCATGGGAAAATAAATAGCATGTCAGAACGCAACCTGTGTTTTATCAATACAGGATACACAAGTCTCCAGAAGACCCCGTAGCATTAAGAATGATAATTTAAATAGACTTTTATAACAGTGATCCCATTAGCAAGTAAAAGCATTTTGTCCAGCCCTATCTAAGTACTTGGACTAGCTTTTCTGAACTCAGTACCCTAATTCTGTATACAGACCCAGCAGCACTATAGGCAAATTGAAAAGCGGAAAACCACAAAAACTAACTTGCAGATAATAAAAGGAAGGCAATTTAGCAGGGTGACTCAGAGCACCGAAGTTCAGTCTTTTGAGGTAAAATACTCCTGAAGTAGCCCTCTCCTTTCCTGCACTAAATTTATTGAACAGCGATCTCCGGGATCCCTGAACATATACTGCTGATGGAAAAGCTACTTGCAAGCAAAACTCCTCTCCCAGAATAATCAAACAAAAAGTCAGTAAGCCTGTAACTCTCAGTATCGATAAATTCATAACACGTGCACTGTTCATGCAAAGAATACAGGGACTTTTAAGTCAAGAAGGTTGAGAACCACTGCCAACAAGGCAGTATGAGACTAGCTTCCCTAGAGCCCTGGTAAAATCTAACACATATCTATCTCCCCCCTCCACTATTCACACTCCACCTCAACAGAAATTATCACCCTTTAAACTCACGCTGGGGGCCCTACTTTTCCTCAGGTGTTAACTGTCTTAGTCTCCTGTAAAGTGTACCTTAACATTACAACAGTTTTGAGTAGTATGATAATACTGCTACGACATACAATTATGGTTACTGTTTATCTCAGATCTCTTTTCTGCAAATCACCAACTTTTTCAGGATGTGTATAAGCAATGTGATCAACAGCTGGCCATATGTCAAAAAACACAGTGCATGCAGAAGCATGGATAATAGAGCTTGTCTGAAGATGAAACCCTGTAATTCAAAGAATGTAGCAAACTGCTTACGATCTATTAAATGAAAGACAACCACCAAGTGGGAGAGCAGCTTGGAAGAACCAAAAAGGAACTAAAACAGGAAGCAGCAACATGAACTGTTCGAGGATGCTAAACATGCCCCCAGTTTATCTGACAAATTCTAGACAGCCCAACAGTGAAATAGGCTAAAATGCAAGATAGCAGGACAATGGGCACATTAAAAATTACTTAATAAATGCATTTTCAATTCATTAGTTATGAGAAATGTTTTCATTAAAAATACTATCTAGTCCTATTTAAATCTATTTCTTAAGAGTTATGCATTTGCATAGCAAATCCATCATAAGATATACTACTACACAGAACTGTTGGGGAAAAACTGAATCAAGGTTTTGTGTAAGCTTATAAACTTATTAAAATCCCATTTTCCTGTACCGATGACTGGATTTTTACAGTGCTTTTAAAACAATCAGGCTGATTTCCTGTCACAGTGTTCACTCTGTTCCTCAGCAAACTGAGGGAGTGTAGACTTCTCCAAACAAAAGCTCAAACCAACTGGCTCAGTGAACATGAGCCTTCAGGCTCTGTAAGTCTGAGATTCTGATTCCAGAAACCAACACCTATACTCTCAGGCACACGCAGATGAAGCAATGAGAGCATACTTCTTTACTGATTCAGAATAATACATGCTACAATACAAGGGAGAAGTATGAAAATAGTATTATAAACATACCAAAAAGCTCTGCTGCATTCCAAATTGGCAGCTTTTGCTAGTCACAACCTCTTAATAAACACATATACTGAGGCAACAAGCCACCGTTGTGATGAAGGGCATGTAGATTGTAATTTTCATAAGATCTTCAGGTAGACTAAAATTGTTGGCTATGCTAGAAGTGCTTTGAAATTAATTTTATATTATTTCTGAAGTGTTACTGCACTGGCTTTGGATGACCAACCAGTACACTGCCCTACCACCTACAACAGCTAAAACAAACCCCTGAGAACCTCTCCTTCCACTACAGTCATCGAGATGCTTAAGCTTCACACTGTTAATTACACAAAAGCAAGTCCATCTTTCTTTTAAATCTTGCTAATTATTTAAAATCCAAAGATGCTCTCTGATTCACCTGCATTACCTTAACCCAGTAACTTTGCATTCACTAAAGGCAAACATACACACAGACAAGTATTTCCTGCTGATATACACATATAATACTGTAAACACGCGACAGCTCACAGCTTTTTTCACTGAGCCATAGGGGACCTCTGACTTACTCACAGGATTAAAATACCTAGGGAATAATGGAGTAACAAAGTTGCTTGAGCTGCTGCCATTGCTCATGTATGTGAACTCATCCCACCTTAAGTGCAGGATCAATGAAAGTAACTTAATGTAAAAACGGATCTTTAAAAATCAAAGTGATTACCATCTATATCAAACAATCTCAAGACTGAAGCTCAGAATCACCTTAGATTTCAATAAACCCAGTATAAAGAAAACAAGAGTTTAAATACATCAGATCATTACAGATGAGTTACTACATCCAGAGTGAAACTCATCAGGAATAACTTCCATTTTTAATTATTGGGAACATCAGATAGTTTGTAATACTCCTGTTACAGTACGAATCTAATATCCTTTTATAAGGGTACTAACAAGGGAAATACCTCCACACAGCTTAAACACTTATTTTTTTCTGTTCAAAACTAAAATCTTCAGCTACATTTAAAAGAAACAACTGTTTCAATATGATAAATAATGTTCATCTCATTGATAAGCCACTAAGAACCACTAATGTATTGTAAATACCTAAAGATTTGAAGCAGTAGGCAACCAAAATTTGCTTTAAACCAAGTACTTATATTGGAAAATTTAAATATGAAAGTTCTGTCCAACATGCATATTCCTCACCTGTGTTTTTCATAGAAATAATTTATAGTACAGATTAACAACATGGTTGATCTTATAATTTCAACTTACCATTCCATTGGAATTATTTATTCCATTCATATTAATTTTTGTTACAAATCTAACTGTAGGAGGTGCTTCTGGATATTTAGGTCCGCACTCTACTTTCAGACTGTATATTCTGTTTTCATAGTTTGTCTAGAAAGCAAAAAGACAGACTAATGCATCTTACTGAAAGCTGAATATTAGTAAGTTTTAAAAACCAAAGTAAAATCAAGAGGAATAAAGATTAAGAAATAGAAAATAATTACAGATGGCTTAATATTATGTATCAATTGATGGTCTTGCATTACTGATTGATACTTCACCATATTGGTTATACTGATTACTTGATGAATATGTATAAATTACACTACTTATTGACTACACCATATAAAATTTTTAACAAAATACAATTCTTTTTTTAATTCATATTTACTCTTGTCCTTCCTACCCACCTGCATTCCCAAAACAACTTTGGCACAAGTAGGGGGCTGAGAGAAAATCAGTAATCTTTAGGAAAATTACTGCTTTCCCCTGTAAAAAAAAAAATCTAACACTGCAAAAAAAAAAACTTGGAAATGGAGAAAGACAAAGATGACAATAACCAAACAATTGAGACACAACCAAGAACAAGATGAGAACAGTATTTGCAAAAAACATATTCTGGAAGTAATTAACACTCCAGAAGATAACCAAGACTTCCACAGCTGAAGACTGCTTCGTTTACTAAGAGGATTTATGAACTTTGGACGGTAAAATGACAGCTAGTTTGCAGGCAATGTTACTCCAAAGTGACAATGGAACAGACCATTCTAAGAGCAAACATATTTGGAGAAAGTCCAATTAGAAATTACTATGGTTCTAACTTTTTTTTTTTTTAATCTTGTCAAGCAGGCCATGCACAATAAAAAGTATCAGTGGCTTTGCTGGTCACTGATGCACATGCCTCTGTGATCCAAACGGAAGATAAACTCTTTTTCTACACCTGCCTTTCCACTGGCACAACAGATATAGCTAACATGAACCAAAGGCAGTAACGTGCCTCTGTACTTTCCAGAACTACCATCCGTAAGCTGTTCTGCATCAGTCAGCTGTCATTCTCTTCAAGTAGCGTATCAACCACGCAGCCACGTTATCAAATGACAGTCCACACTGTGGTTAATTAAAAGGCAGAGTGGAAATCGGACTACTGAAGCATCCTAACTGTGTCCTATAACTTCAAGAAGTCACAGAGACTGAGCAGCAAGTGGGTCAGAAAGAAACAAGGTGAAGCAGGACATCCTTTGTTACAAAAACAGTTTCCTATTTTTCTTTCCCATTCAAAGCTAAAGGCCCAATAATAATCTTGTCCTGCTACAAGTAACATAGCAGCTACAACAGCAAGAAAAACGGTAACAAAAATTCTCAATATTCACTCAGATAAAAGACTTTCTTTCCCCAGAGAGTGATGCTGTCAGTTACAGTGGAAATAGGCCAAAATGTATATACACGGCTCACAACTCTGAAAAATCTTAAGAACAGCACTTACTCTCATTCCCTTATTCCTATCCAGGCGGCTTCTCAATTTTACTCCATTTTTCAAATCACTGTTTTACTGCAAGCCAAGCACCCCAGGCCAGCTCCCCAAAAAGCCTAAAACTCCATTTTTGGGGGGCCAGAAAAATGTTTCATTTAATCTAAAACAAGCCTTCCCCTCCTCCTTCCATGTTGCTTCACCTTTCAAATGAAGCAAGAAAAAAACCCACATGAATAGCAATTTTTGCCCAGTTCTAGAAAAGCCATGTATGTGAAGAACTTCATGCTGTGGACTGTATCAGCAACTTTCCCTGTGTTCTGCCTAACTGCACGCTGTCTCAGCCAATTCAAAAAACACACATCTTCTACAAACCCTAGAACTGGATATGCAATTCCTCTCAAGGTGCCACCATTGGCTTGGGAGCTGGTGGCTTTCACCTTCTACAATTCCCACATAATGCAAGTCATTCTATCAACAAGACTGCATGTCCCTGAAACGGCCCAAAATATTACTCATGTGCACTCTTTCATAAAGAAAACAAAATTCGGGCAATATAAACTGACCAGAATTAAAAGTGCATCCCAGGTTATTTGGGTTTGTTTTGTTTTGTTTTTTTTTACTACTATGTAAACATATGGGCTCCTACATAACAAACACTGTCCTCAAAGGTGTGTTAGGAGTCTACCTTAAATTGAACCAGAAACCAGACACAGGCAGTTCTGGAGTCAGGGAGACGCTACTTTATTTAGCTCACATTTGCAAGTCATTTTCAAAACCCCTAAGACTACAAACTTCCTTCAAAATGTATTCAAACACTGTGGTTCCATTCCACAGGAGCCAGTATCCAAAGCATACCATCATTACGCTTGTGTTTTAAATTGGTTCTCTCAAAGGCACCCAAATCTTAGGAGCTCAGCACAATTATGCAGATGTTCAAAAGAGTCTGCTGCAAGCTGCAACTAACTCTGAGTTCCAAAAGGAGCTTGAATTACACTGAATCTAATTCTGGAACTCTGTTACTCTAGAAGACATTATCTTCACTGAGGCCAAGTTCTGATCTTCGTCCTTGTCTGGGATAGTTCTTCCAATAAGCCCTACAGCACTGAAGGACACACAAGATAGTAATCTCATGTTAGCAGTGAAAGACATATGCTAACTTACGTCTAACTAAGAGCTACCTGAAGTGTACTCATTTAAAGTTCTCATTTACATGGTGATCTTTTATATCATATTGTAACTCATGAGAAAGCGTGCACAAAAGTCAAGTAAAGATGTGTCCGTCCATATCCGATGAGGCTGATACCTGGACACAAGAAATTATTACTTTTCTCACACATTTTATCAGTCTAGATGACATTCTACAAAACTTATAAGGTCGGAAGGATTTGAACTTTCTGTATATATTTTATCTTATTAGTGGGAATTAAAAACTGTTTCATCTTTAGGCGTGATTCAACTGAAACGCATAAACTGCTGTACTGAACAACTATTTCATCTAACTTGTGAAAGTTGAAAATATTGCCAGTTTACTGTAGATTTGAAACTACTAGGCACATCTGAAACTGTGGAAAGATAGTTACCCTGTTTACTGGACTATCACTGTACACTTACGTGCAGTAACGGTGGAAATACAAACTGAACACATTCCTAACTCCATAATAAGTCTCCAATCACAACTGGCTTATACAGACAGCTGCAGAAACATGTACTAGGGGAGGCTAGACTGGAAACACTAACATGCCAGGAAGTGATAAATTCTAACATGAATATACAGCGTTTCTACAACTTCATGCATTGAATTTTAACTAAGTCCTTTACATTGTTACAAATTAACATTTTATTTGCATTTTGTATTGCCTACAAACTTAGGAAAAATGTTCTAATTCATCACACTTACCCTCGGTGGCCCAATAATCATTCCTGTCCACCTGGTGAGTGTCATATCTTCATCATCTTCAAGGCCCCAGCTTACTGTACCATCACCTACACCTTTCTGCCCTTCTTCAAGTTCTTCCAACAAGCGAAAATTACGAGGTACCTTAACTAGAGAAAAGGGAAGAATGTAATTAATATTGCTCATGTTAAGGAAAAGGTAAACAATTCCACTGCTTTTATGTGTTATGCACCAGCAACTGCTGAATATACTTTCAAAGCCAAACAAATATTTCCTGCATGTATTTATTTAGCATTTGAATTGTTTAGAAGCAACTTCACTAGAAACTAGCTACTACCAAGTGATAGCAACACAAACTATAAAAGAGAAAATGAGAGCTCTCTTTACCTTGAGATGGCTTACTTCAGATTCTCTTTCCCAAGCACAGTACTGGTTAGAACCAGTACATTTCAAAATCAATTCACTGACTGTCAAATTCTACTCGACTAAAATCCACGTAAAACTGAGATGGCAAATTCCCTCCAAAATAACTAAAGAATGCAATATTTAACAAAAATTATCTTAATAAATGTAAACTAAAAGATTGAAATATTTTCACTTGATTTAATCTGATTAAAAAAAAAAACCACAACCCAAAGCACGTTAATATCTGAAAACAAATGAAAAAAATCAAGTCTTTTTTAATCTAGTGATTATTATTTCCATTTGAGAAAAAAATAAGCAGAGAAACCCTGATTAAGTTGTTCAAGAGAGATAATGACATATTCGCAACAGAATATGAAGTTGTACTGCCTCTAAAGAGAGCCAAGCAGTTTTCACTTACTGAACTATAATTACTGGATTTTGATTATTATACATGAAAACAGACAGATATTAATAGGTATTAAACAAGTGGATGCTTAATTGTTTTACATCACAGAAGCTAAAATGGTATTTCAGCACTGACGTAGGGAACAAAGCTAATTAACACTTGTGCATGCAATCATGCCATGATTTTATTTTCAAATAAAATATGCAAAATTATATAGTAGCAATATTACAATACAATAAAATTTTGGGGTTTTTATAGCCGCTTATAGATATATTCTTTTCTTACAGCTACTTACAGCTATAGTGTTTTCCATGATTTTTACTAGAGATCCTTTCTTGTACTGCAAGAATCCAGGTACTCTATAAAATTAAATTCTATGACTGGGTACATACAAAGTTGCTAACCAGTAATACATGCTCTGCAAGTTCGAAAAAGATGGGGGTCAAAGAAAACTGATTTTCATATCAGTTATTTAGTCACTGGGATTTCAGGTTTTAGGTTACCCTAGTCTGTATTCCAAGCGGTCTCTGTGTAAAACATTAAGACCAACAGTATACAATGTAACTACTTAGTCTAAACGTATGCATATAGACCAGAATAGATAAACATACCTTTCAGCAATTATTTAAATAGCTTATCTTGCATTACTATGTTTTCTCTTAAACTGTGATTAAAACATTCCAGGGAAAAAAAAGAAAAAAAACAAGGAAAAAAAAAAAAAAAAAAAAACAACACACACACCACAGACTAGGGAGAGGCTCCTAAAAATTGCAGCAACAATTGTCTCCAAGTCCCCCAAATTCCCAGGGAAAAGCTTTAAGAGTATAATATCAGGACAGTGCAAGGAAATTAAATCACTTATGGCCTCACCTTCCTTCCTGCTTTGGTATTGTCACTCATCTGAGCCCATAATGAGCTACTTCAACTTGCTAACTGATCAGAAAATTATACATTTTAGTGAGTCTCCTAACAGCTTAACAAACCAGCCCAGTACTAGCATGAAAGTGCAGCCACAGCAGCAAAAACTCAGATAACCTCAATGTAAAAACATGTTTTAATAGAGTTAAACTACTCTGGAAACTTAATTTCACAGATAAGAGTTCACATACAATTACCTGAAAGTACTAGCACAGTACATCAAGGAGCAGATAATTTCTCAATGCTTTAGCATAGATCCTTTTAAAAAGCCTAATTGAAATTAATTTGCTCATTCCTCTGGTCCCATCCTGACTTGTTATTAACAATAGAACTGTATGTTTACATCTCTAATTCAGACTAGGGATGAGAACTGATAATCATGCTCCTATCACATTATAGAGCACAAGGTTTTTACTTTTGCTCCAGATTCATACATGCTGCAGAAAGAGTCTGCCAGTAAAATGTTAATCTCTAAACTGAAATAAATAAATAAATAACAGCAGGATAACCTTCTACTAAACTTGTTGTTTTGCATCACATGACTAAATAGCTTCTGATTGGTATGGGGAGCCTCAAACCAAAAAAAAAAAAAAAAAACCAAAAACAAAAACATGATAAACAATCCCTGCCCCAAAACCCAGGTACTTTAGCATTCAATCACTTAAGACTACTCCAGTGGCTTAAATCCACCATTTCTCACAATTCTTGCTCTGATTGCAGAACTTCTGATTTGTATTTTACCTCCTTAAAAAGCACATAAAAGACGGTAGCAAACAGGCTTTAAGTTTATTTCTGATCACCTGCCATCACCTTTCAGTGCAGCGGAGATGACCCAACTGTTCATTGCCAGAAGAGGTTCCATGCCTTCTCCCAAAACTCTGTTGCTCTTGCACTAACCAAGCTCCTCTATCAGCCAAACTGGCACACTAATTTAGCAAAAAGCTGTTTTTCCTTTAGGCAAAAATCAAATCCAACCAGTTAATCAACTGAATTAACTCAGGAAGAAAGATCAACAAATGCCAGCGCTGACTGCTGTGTCTTTCAGTGCCTTTCTTTCAAAAACCATGGGTGTGGGGATGAGGGAGCTTTTTGTGGCAAAAAGCCACTGGACTGGCTCAGTTGTATCATAAAATTGTACTCAACACACAAAACTGTAGGAAATAACACTTACTAGAAAATAACAACCCCTTATGACTAACTGTCCCATGTTCATCACATTTTTTCCACTACGTTATCGGTACTCACTAGTTCCCCTAACTGCCCAAGGGGAGCAGTGAAGGACTGTGGAAATCTCCAGAAAATAATTTAGATCTGCTCTGAAAAGAGACAAAAACATCTGACAGCAAGTGCTAGGCTCCCCACAATAACATTCCTACCAGTGCTAGAACTAGGTAGCAAAACACTGCTCTGAAGTTAAAAGAGTCAAACCACCTAGTGTTTAAAAACAAACAAACAAAAAAGCCACACAAACAACCAAAACTACACAAACAAACAAAAAGCCCATACCACACCAGCCCATTAAAAAATACCCAGAAAAAAAAAAAAAAAGATGCTAGTTCTCAACTAAAACTGGACCAAAGATACATTCAAACAGGTTCCCTTTCAGAAAGTTACACAGTCCTACTATGCAGGGGTTGAGGGTCATCAGAAACAATTGTATAAATTAAGGTAAAAGCACTATTTCCTAAGAGCAGTTCTATATTTAAAGGTACTCGGTTCATTTTTGCAAACATATTCTATTCCTTTATTGATGAGTTCATAGGAAATACAAGAGATCTTTCTTTTTAAACAATTCTGTATTTAAGATTTGGACAACCTCCCCCACCCTATTTCCAAAGAGATACCCTGATTTGTCAACTGAGAGCAGAGGGACAGAGCAACAAGCTGCGCATATCTTAATTATGAACATCTACTAGAGCTTTTCACAGCAAAGGATTACCAAGTCACCATTTCCTAGCTTACAAAAAAACAAACAAACAAAAAAGGCAAACAAAAAAACAATTCGCAAAACCCCACTAAACTGCTCCTAAGTCCCTGGCATATATGATTAATGTTTCATCCTCAATACTTCAAACTTCAACTAAAGTTACTATTGAATGTTTTATTAGAAAGCCATTGCTGGTAGTTTTCTGACAAGTGACATAGAATACTTTAAAAATTAACACAGTGGATAAAAAACAACCAACCAACCCACCCTTAGCCTTTATAATTATAGTCTTAGAAACTACCAGCAAAACAAATTGGAACTATATGCTAATGCTGTCCTGAGCATCCAGTCATGTACTTGTGCACACTATCGCACTCTACATGTTTGCTTTGGTCATGCTATAACCTTTACACAATACAAATCTACCTATCTTGAAGAACAGAACACGTGTACAAGACTGTACCTTCTTTCCAGTAAAACAACAGCAAGAACTTCTACCTAGAAGATCAGGTAATGATGGTCTGGATCTTTTGAAAACTAAGTTTGCTCCTAGCACAACACAAAAAATTCTTGTTCTTCTCCCTATTTCATGTATTCCAGAGGGCACAATCGAAAATGTATGTTAATGGTGCATACAAAACCTGAAGTTTTGTCTCTAATCCAGACAATACAATTCATCAGGTATTTGCTAAAATCTTTGAAATATTGCTTGATGGACTCTGAATAAGAATCAGTATGTCATTAACAGAATTTGGACAATGAAATAACATCCTTCTGTTCTAGTTTGCAGCTCATCAGCAACATGAAATTACAGAAACCACCCCCGTTCTTCAGCTGACACCAGACCGCAGGTGTACCTTCTGGAACAAGTAGCGACAACCGAAGAGAGAAATGCGTCTAGCCTTTCACCACCACGGCCCTGCCAAATATTGTTCTCCCCAATACCACTTGCTGATGGGACCACTAACCGGCTTCAGGCAAGTGCAGACAGGTTGTTTTTACTCCCTGTAACAGGCATCCCTCAGCTAAAACCTCTCGCTCCCAAGGGAAGGGTATTAAAGCAATCATGCAATTTTATCACTGGCAGAGCTGCAGCAGCAGTAAGCTCCACTCAGTAGGTTGTGATTAGGTACAGCACTGCACCCAACACAGCTATTTGCAATGATGGACTAAGGCTCTCTATGTGAAAACACAGCTGGGTTCATCAAGTTTAAAAAACAAAAGCAACCTCCCCTTCTCCTCCCTCAACCTCTTTGCAGCTTATCTGCAAAGCTTACATCACTATGGATTTTATTGACAAATACCTCCTGTACACAGGACCCATCAAACAGTATTTACTGAGTTTTCACAAAGCTTAAGTAAACATATTTCACTTAAACAAAACAAACACCACCCACTCATGCTTACATACACCAACAGGTTTTAATTTACAAGTTTAATCATTAAACTGGACTACAGAAACTGATACCTATTAGAAATATGTGAAATTAAAT